CTAAATAGCATATTTATTATGAATACCAAGTTATTTTGCTCTGCATGAGGGAAACAAACCCACATACAGCGCTTTTACTGCTGTGCCGAGCTGGGTCTGGCAAAAGTCACAGTCCTTTGTTTCTGCCCCCCTCCAGCTGCAACTTTTTCAAACCACACCACTTCCTATCAGTATGAATGAAGTCAGTCAGGTCTCTGCTGTCTGCAACTTCTTGTGTTTTCTTTCCTAAGCTCTTCTTTAAACTGATAAAAGCTGTGTCAGACAGCGTCCTTCACTCTCAATAGTGATGGCAGGCCAAGTAGGCCCAGGTTAAATGCTGGGCTCTGGGAGGTAGCTTTACTTGGAGTCACAAAGTTAATACTTAGCCAGGAATGGTTGGGATTCTTGTGGTGTACTCCAAAGTGTAATCTAAACTGGCTTTCCTGGGTTTGTAATGCTTAGTTTTGGATTAACAATTGCCCACCAGTGTTTATAGCTCTAAACTGCTGATGCTTGCTCTCAAACATAGTCCCAGTGTAATGCCCTTTTTGTCTTGGAACAGAGAGAAGGATTAATGGGAATCTGTAGCATACAGCAGATGTGAGGTTTTACATCATTTGATGTCTGCACATGGCACTGATTCAGCTCTTCTTCCAGGGACACATTTCTGATTCCTCGTAGATTTTTCATTTTAACACTGTCCCACAGCAACATTAGAAAATGTGATAAATGCCATTCTTACAAAGTGACAGTGCATAAAATCAGAATAATAAGAATAAACAAAATGAAGGAGGTTGTAGGCGTTCTTTGCATTTCCCAGCAGCTAAAGACACTGATTCATTAGTTTGTTGCTATGGTAGACCTTTCTCAGTAGCAAGAAACCCAATGGAGGGAGAAGTTTCAGCTCTGCTAAAGAGTTCAGCGCCTCCAAAAGCTGAAGGCAGAGCCTTGTGAAAGGGAAGGAAGGATGAGGACAGGTATGAATAAGGCAAGCTGGAGCCCCTGATTGAATTGTGGCTTTGCACTGGCCAGCTGCAGATCGAGGAGCAAACGGCTCCTCATGTGTGGGATCAGTGTCCCACCCAAAACTGGAGCCACGTCCGTGTGTCCCTGGCACTCCAAGGTCATCTTGGGAATTCTCCACCGCTTTGTGGTCCCACTTAGGACATTTTACTTCTTTGTGAGGCTTCCACCAGTAAATGCAGCAGATGGAAGGAGAGTGCAAACAGCTTTGCTCTGTGGGGAAATAGCTGTGAAGGGAGCTGGGGTGTGATTTCTGCTCCTGCTTATCTGCAGCTCTTCACTTTCACAGCAAAATTAACTATTTCACTTCTCAGAGGGCTTCTGCCTAGCATCTACAAATTCATCTTTAGATCATGTTGCTGTCCTTCTGCAGAGAGAACAAATGGCCAGCAGCAGTAAAAATGCTACAACATTTTGAGAGAAGTGAAGCATAAGAAAATCTCTATAAAACCCTCTTTATTTCTGTTGGGAATTAATTTTCTGAAGCTGTTTCTCATTACCTCTGATCACAGATGTGATATTGTTCATGGTAAATACTTTTCTCCATTCATTGTATGTGAACATCTTTCAAAAAATATAGAATTTTTTTTTTTTTACTTTTTCATTTTTTATTTCCAAAATAGTGAAAACTCTGTAGAATTTTCTGCATGCCTGGTACCTGTGTTGATTCATTCCATTTGGGAGATGAATGCTTTGTTTGGGATTTCCGTGATTATTTGTAAATATCATTGGGGATGTTTTCTTTTAAACCTTTTATTCTTTCCTAAGCCAAACAGATACTTCCTGAGCCTACCACATAACATAATAGTTGTACTAGAAGACAAGAAATTTGGAAAGCAAAGGACAGATGTGCAGAGTTAATCTAAGTCTAAGCCTCACTGCTTTCCCCGGTGAGTGAAGCTGCAGGGAATAGACCATTTGCTGCTGAAGTGTCACTCAAAGAAGTGAGTGGGAAAATTGCTTATGTGAACAGGATACAGGCTTGAACTTCTGCAACACTTGGCAAGAAATCTGACAGCCTCAGGGTGCATTTTTGAAAGGCCTCTCAATTGAAATGCCTTGCTTGGCCCAAAGGGTGAAGTTCCCCAGCAGTGCAGCTTCATCAGCTCCCATGACCTGCTGTGCTTTCAGTGCTGATTCAAATCTTTTGCCTTTCACTATCCAAATGCAAAGCCAAGTGCAAGAAGAAAACAGGCTCTATAGCAGCTCTCTAGCCCCCACTGCATTTTTTTGAATAAACTGATGATTTTAAGGTAAGAATTATATGTGTTAGGGATGAGTCCTTGGTTCTTGGGGGCAAATGGTTTCCAAACAAAATTCTTTCTTTTTTTTTTAATATGAATTTCAGGTTTTCAGATTTTTTCTCCTTTTATTTCTTAGCACTCTACAGATTTTAATATCCTCTTGGTGATACCCCGTGTCATGGTTCAGATACCAAATGCCTGCCAATGAGCAAGTTGCTGCAGTCACCCATCTGAGCAAAGAACAGATCAGACAACACCACATTTGACTTGGAGAGTCAATATTCAGAGGCCCAGGAACAGTAAGATCCAGCAGGGAACTTTCTAGTAGAAAGTGTTGCCTTTACAAAATTCTAATTTCTCCCAGGAATGTAGAATGAGTCAATGCTGTGCCCTGATCATCGGTGCTCTCATAGCAGGCAGAGGCACTGTGGGCCCTGCACACAGGCTGTGCCCTGTCATGGACAGCTACTTGCTTTTCCACACCTCAGCCTGTTTGTTTCTAGAAAAATCAGTGGCCAGATTCACTGGAGAAACACAGAGATGCTCAGGTGAAGAAGAAATGCCTCAAGCATTTTTAAGTTTCCTTTGTTCAGTGTTAACAATGTTTAACCTGGTCAACATCCCAGCCCTTTCTAAGCACTATGTTATTGCTGAGGAAGGTAGCCTAGAAGCCAAAAACTCCTAAATTTAATGTTCATCTCCCCGCTGTCTACCAGCACTCTAAATTAAATTACAGTACAAGTTACTTTATGATCTGTGGGACCAAGGACAGCAGGGTAAAAAACCAAAACAGGCGTACTCAGAAAAAAGCTGAGCAACAGAGGAAGCATAAAACTACAGGTGAGCTTCTAGTGCCAGTTATTGCAGTGGAAGCCCAAAGTCATGTCAGTGAAACTAATGGAGCTGCCTCAGGCTACAGAAGAGCAATTGAGATCAGTTTTCTCATACACTTTGGCATTTTCTGCCTCCCCAGGTACTGACGCAATCCCTGTTCCCTCTGTTCAGGCACTGTCAGTTAAACTGGAGGCCCTCTTGGCAAGGCCCACTGCTTTGAGATGGAAAATAACTCTTTTGCCTCAGCATTATTTTCTTCTATGATTTGTTAACTCTTTTTCCAAAAGGAGCATGAAGTCACAATGGTGAAATCTTTGTGTCTACTGAAGGGTCGTTAGTTAAAAGGTAAGTTATGAGCAAGGACCTGGTGAGGATTCCTTGTCTGCTGGCAGGGATATTCAGTCAGATATTCTGAAGGTACTGAGGGAATCAATGGAAATGGCCATAGCTATGGAGAGGGAATTCTTGATGGAATATCCTGGTGAATTTTATTTTCAGGCATTTTTTCATAACCAGGAAATAAGGTAAATACACAGTCCATGTCTTCTCAGAAGCACAATTCATCACCTGAGCACCAAAAGGACTCTGTCAACATCAGCACATGCTTAGGTCTGTGTTGGGTCAGTGTTCCCAACTGGAACTGGGCTTCTTTGGCACAATCTCATACATAAATTCATTTAAAAAACATTCCCTTTGACAGACTGGAGCCCCCACATGTAAATCTCCAACTCAGGGGAGAAATCAATACACACTTTGTGCATTAGCCTTGTCAAAAGTTGTGGAGAAGAGACAGTTCAAAGGCTGGGATTAGTGTCCCTGCCTCAAAGAGGTACTGCAAGGATGCAGCTCAGCATGAATATGAGAACTCTTTGGCTTTGATTGCTAAATCAGCCTCATCCCTGGGGAAGGTGGCAGCTGATGGCTGGGACAGGGCTGCAGGCAGCAGTGGGGGTGGCCCAGAGCAGTGGGGTGCCTCTCTGCAGGCTGCATGCTCCTTGTCCTTGGCTTTATCTGTGCCTGTGAGCGCTGATAAGAAGTAACTGACTGGCATGTTAGGCTCTCGCTGCTTGATTATTTTTTATTGCCTTGTTTGCTTGGGGAATGGGAGTGCTTAGCTTGCTCTGAGGTCCAAAAGGTTGCTTTCCCCCAGGGTTCTGTGTGCTTCTGGCTACTGCTTTAGGGATCAGGGCTGCTCTTATCTGATTCCCCCATAAGGTGGGGGTGGTTCTTTCAGGTTCATGTGTTTGCCACTGCATTGGACATGGGGATTTTATTTCATGCTCTTGTTTGGTTTGGCTTTGTTCATGAAACTATGTTTGTAACCAAGCAGGAAGGAACAGATGTGAAAAACCTGCAAATAGGAGAGGAGCTGATGAGGAAGCCGGGAAGTGGGTGAGTCAATGTGTGCTGTGTGGGGATTGGAGCCAGTGGCAGCATTAGTTAGATGTGTTGTGAGCTGTCACAACAGCTGTCACTAAAACAAATGCTGCACCTTGAAGTCCAGCAGTGGAGGAATGATATGGAGACCTTGCTATCCACACATGAACCTAAAGCTGCCTTTGCATTTAGAGTTACAATCATTATTTTCTTTTTTAAATAGCATTATCATTATGCTTTTATAAATAGCACAATCATTATTTTTTTTTTTAAATTGCAAGTCTAAACCTGACAGGCACATGTGTGTGAGGACAAGCGTGGGTGACCAGGACAGGGGAGGCAACAGAATTTAATCTGAAGCTTTTTACCATGAACTTCAAGGCTTTGTTTCTCACCAGACTAAATCTGTAGTGACTAAAGTTTTGAGGAAGGTTTGCAGGTAAAGTGTGGACAGGGAAGCTGAAATACGCTACCACATATAACTGAACATTTTTTTCTTTTCAGAGTGAAGAAGAATCACATCCAAAGAAATATGCATCACTATTAATATGAATAATTAAATATATTTTTACATATAAATAATAACAGGAAACATTATGGAAAGAAATAAAAAAGTTAGGAAGAGTCTCTTGGAAATTGATATAGTTCTGTTTTTTTGGAAATATTTTCAGAATATTTAAAGCAAACTGCCTAGGCAAGAAGTTCAAAACCCTGTACTTTCCACAAAAGCCTCTCCAACATCATCCCAAGTAATGAACATTCAGTACATAAATCAAGGCTTTTGCACAGCTCTTTTTTCACTGTTTTGCCATGGGTCTTCCAAGGACTCCTTTAAAACAAAATAATAACACACCCCATCGAGACAGCAGTTCAGGTTTGCCCAGCAAAGGGTGACCTGAACAGTGTCTCGTAGCACTTGTTGAAAACTGATGTGGATGACGTTGTTCTTCACCAAGAAGTACAACAAGTATGCCACGTGGTAAGGTGTGAAACACACCAGAAAGGCAGCCAGGTTTGTCACCACGATCCTCTCTGCTCTGGTGCTGTGTGTCTGGGGGTTGTCTGGCTTTCTGTGCCTCCTCAGGCACCGGACGGTTTGGGCCGTGCAGAAAGTCATGGCTGCCATGCTGCCGAAGAAGATGATCTCCAGGGTGCTGAGCAGCCCTGCGTTCTCCCACGTGCTCTTGGAGAAGTTGTGGAAGCAGGACGAGATGTTGTGGCCCTTTCCATGCAGTTGGAAAGTAGAGAGTGTCCCCACAGAGGTGCCCAGGCAGATGAGAGCACAGACCATGGCAGCTTTCTTGATGGACCTGAGGGTGAGGGCCACGAAGGGGTAGCAGATAGCGATGTAGCGATCCACGCAGATGCACAGGGAGATGAGGATGCTGCCGTACATGTTCACAAAGTACAGGCTCTCCAAGGTGGAGCAAAACACAGACCCCAAGTTCCAGTTGTCCTGAAGGTGGTAGGAAATGATTTTGAAAGGAAGGGTAAACAACAGCAAAGTATCCAGGAATATAAGGGCTATCATGTAGACTGTAGATTCTGACAGCTTTTTAACCTTAAAAAACAGGAATGACAGAGCCATTATGTTGAACAGCAATCCCAGGATAAAAGTGGGGGTGTACACGATGAGCTGGAACAGTTCCACAGCAGCACTGATATTGCCCTTGCCATGGGTGTCATTCATATCTCCAGGTATGCTGAAAGAGAAGAAAATCACCACAAGGAAGGATGAAGATCATGTAGAAGACATAGAACAAAGGCTAATGAGGTCTCTATGTGTCCACAGCCTTGGAAACACTTTGTTCCCCTGCTGTGTGCTGAATTGCAGCTCCTGGTAGTGTGGAGCTGCTCAGTGCCAGTGATTTTGGGGCAAGGTTGTACCTCAAGGGGGATGGGGCTTTCTGGTGCCCTCCCTCACTTGCACTGTTAGCTGTAACCCCAGACTGTGCTGTCCTGAAATTCTGGCTGGGCAGAGTATGACTGCACCATCCCCTTGGAGAGATTCAATCTCTCTGCAGAACCAAGGTAGCAGACCCTGATTTTAGGGTTTCTTGGATCACAAGGGTGCAACAATTCTGTGGCTCCTGTTTCCTGCATCAAGCTATCAGATGAGAACAGAAGGGTGCCCCACATTTATGAATGTGAAGATCCCATACAGTCACTGCCATCCTGCACTCCCTCCCACCACCCCTGGGCAAAGAGGGACTGTGAGTACCTCTGGCCCTTCTAAAAGCTGTTTGAAAGCTGCAGGCAGGAAGCTTCCAACAGGCTGTTTCTGCCAGAGGTTAAGTCTTTGGTAGAAGGATGAGACTTTGTCTAAATCAGCCAGACTTACCAGAGCAGAGACAGGGGTTACAGGAAACATGCAGCTGGATTTGCCTCTGCAAGAAGGAACTGAAGGAGTCAGGCAGGCACCCTCTGAGCTCAGCTGGGGTCACAAAGTAATTGCCTTCTTTAGAGGAAGGGTTCTGGCTTGATCCTGCCCTCAGACTCTCCTGATAAGGACCAGGAAGGTGCTCATTGGTTTCTGCAGTGCTGTAATCACTTAAAAATGCAAATGGCCAGGAATACCAGATCCTTTCCTCCAGCCAGTTCCATGACAGCAAATGGAACCTGTAAATAAAGTATGCCAGAGATCTTTCTGTCAGCAGCCAGAAATTAATTTCTCCTGCTGTTCTCTAGTTTTTACTTCAAACCAGTGTCTTTCCTACATGAGTTGCTGATTTTGATGCTGTTCCATTTTGGATTTGTCAACTGCTTATCAACTGAGCAGTCAAAGTTTCTGTCCTGCAGATCAAGTCACCCCCCATAGCATTTCACAGGTAAACTCTCCCTTGATGTGGTTTGAGAGATTAAGATCTCTTCGAATGAGATTCAGATCAGCAAAAAGGAAACTTAGTTCTTTGCTCCTTAAAGACACAGTAATGGCAGGTAAGTGAGATTCTGTAAATTCCTGGCTTAGACAGAAGTGAGAAAAGCAGCATGAAGCACTGTGGGTTTGATGTTGGGAGGGAGCCCATAACTGAGAGCCAAAGGAAGGAAAAGTTAATTAAGGAATTTCTAAAAAGTAATAAATACTGACAAAGTTCTTTACTTCAATGCCTCTGTAGGAGATTTCATTACTACCTTCCTTTCTTCAGTCTTGTTTCTAATTTGTTTGATAGTGTGTCTAAGAAGTTCTGGGTCTAGAGAAATAGAATTTCAGCTTCTCACCAAGATGTTTAACTAAGAAAATTCCCACTATGATTAAAAGATGTTTCAGACTAGGATGTGTTGTGCAGATTTACTAAAAAATAAACAGAAAAAATATTGTATAAAGTATAAATTCAAAGGGAAGCTTTGTTCAGTCATTAAAAAAGTTAGCTATGCTGTAAGCAATGCAAGTTATGTAAAATATAATTAGTTTTTGGCTCTCGTGACAAGAGGAAAGCTTTTAAGACCAGGTTTTGCTATAGTGAAATATCTCTTGTCATCTTACCTTTGGGCTGCCTCGTGCTCTGCTTGTTGGCTTTTCCTCCTTCTCAGCTTGCAGAATTCTGCACTCTTGCGTTTTCTTTTAGGGCAGCAGAGTGAGCTGCATGCAAAGCAGCTGCTGCTCAGAATGTCAGAAAGCCCCAAGTGCCGCTGCTTTTTGTTCCATCGCAGATTTCCATGCCAGCGTGGGGCTCCCCAGGCCGTGTGTGCAGGCGGGCTCTGCGTGCGCAGGCAGTCACAGCTCATTTGAGGATGTCAATCTGTGGGACTCACACCTCTGTGAGTCACCCTTTAAAACGCGGAAGGAAAGAAATCTGGCTCGACAGACCTCTCTTTGTGTTTTTTTCCCTCTTTTGTGTGGCTTTTTTTGGTGTTTTATTTGTTTGGTTTTTTGGTTTGGTTTGGTTTGGGTTTTTTTTTTTTGTGGGGTTTTTTTTTTGGTCGGTTAGTTAGTTGGTTTTTTTGGTGGTATTTTTTTGTTTGGTTTTTTCTCCAATACAGGATTTTATTGATTGTACATAGCATCCATGGGTAGAGTGTTAGGTGTCAAAATGTGCTTTGAGCTAAATCCAGTCATTGCTTCCTTTACTTTTCATGATATCAGAAAGGAAAAAGTGATTGCTGATTTTCAGTGGAGATCTGGTATGTTCAACTTGGTGTTTCAAAAGAGTCAAGGTTACTCTTACATCTCTTTCTACACCTAGGGAGCAGGGAATATACCCATGGAGAGTGTCAGGTGATGATTTTCTTCAGGTAGAAAGGGGAAAAAAGTGAACTGTTTTGGCTGTTGTCTGCATGTTTGCAGTGTTCTTTCCAAAAAGGGAAAAAAAGGCCACAGATGACGTTTTGCTTGGTCTTCTGCATACTCCTTACATTTCAAAACTGAGGATTATATTGGCTAAATTAAATCTGTGAAAGAGATATGTGATAGGACATGAGAGAAGCAACAGTCCCTTGGGGTTTCCCCGGGGTATTTTAGTTGAAATGACTCTATTTAAGGAAAAAAAAGCAACACCACCAAAGGAAAAAACCCATAAAAGTTTGAATGAATAGTACCTTACCTCATTTCTCAGCTGTTGCACTTCTGTGGTGGTCTTGTGACTGTGGCTGCATTGTGGGTGTGAACAAAACCCAGCACAGGCAGGCACCAGCACCATGAAGGGATGGATGTCTGGGGCTGCCCTCAGCTCAGATGGGCTCATTTGGCAGCACAAACACCAAAATCCAGCACCTGGTGAATTCTGTCCCACAATGATAGGAAGAGTTGATATTGAAGGATTAAAAGGTGATGTTATTATGAATGGTTGTTATGAGTTAGTTATTTTTGTGGTAATTTTTTTGATATTTCTTGTTTAAAATTTAAAAACTTAGGATTGTGAGGTTTTGTTTTTATGGTTTGTATCTGCATTGAAAATTAATTGAGTTTTTGGGGTTTATTTTGTTTTGTGGGAGGTTTTTGGGGTTTTTTTGAGTTTGTTTTAGGATATTTGTGTTACGTTTTGATAGGTATATTGTGTTAGTTAAATTTTTTATTTGTTGTTATTTAGGGTTTTATTGGAAAGTGTTTTTTTTGTGGGTGATTAGGTAGAGAGGGTTTATAATTTGGTTAAATTTGGGAATGTGTATTTTTTAAACATTTATGATGTTTAGGAAAGTTTGTGAGGTTTTTTTGTTGGTTGGTGGAGATATTGTTGTAATTTTGTTGATGATGTGTGAATTTGATGTTGTTTGTTTTGTTATTTTATTTTTAGGAATTGGATTTGTTGGGTAGGTTTTATAATTCTGGGGGATTTTTGGTGGTGAAATTGGTTTCTAGGAGAATCTGGATGATTTTTTTTAAAATACTTTCATTGTTGTGGTTTTTTCCACAATGATGTTATTGATACATTGTAGATGTTGATATATTGTATGTAGATATATTGACATATTGTAGATTTTTGGAATTTTTGGGGTTTTTTTAGTGTAGTTTGGATTATGTGGTGGAGTTTCTTCAGCAAATGTTGTTTCTTGTTCCTCTTCATCAGCGAGACCAAAGTTTTCATTTTTAGCTCGGTGCTGCTCTGTGCTCCTGCCCTGCCCTGGGCTTTGCAGATGCCACTTCTGAAACTGCCACCAAAGCTCACAGCGAGGCCTCTCTTTTCCCACTCAAGGTTTTCCCCTCCCTCACATGCTCGGGGCTTTTTCTTCTGTCTCATTTCCTCTCTGACCCTCATGTTCTGAGCACTGCCCACCTTGCTGGAGGCTGTCCCCAGCCAGGTGTCCCCTGGCTGCACAGAGCTCTGTGAGACTCCACATCTGGAGACAGATGCTGTGGGAAAGGCAGGATGGGGAAGCAGCAGGGGTGGCTCAGCCACCTCCAGGGAGTGATCTGCTTTTGTTCCAGCAGTGCCCTTGTGACCGTGTTCACAGGGGTCTGAGGATGAGGGAAGAGATGAGGATCTCACTCCAAGTTTCAGAAGGCTTGATTTAGTGTTTTATTATATTTATTACATTAAAACTATACTAAAAGAATAGAGGAAAGGATTTCATCAGAAGGCTGGCTAAGAATAGAAAAAGAAAGAATGAATAACAAAGGCTTGTGTCTCAGACTCTGTCCGAGCCAGCTGGGCTGTGATTGGCCATTAATTAGAAACAACCCCATGAGCCCAATCCCAGATGCACCTGTTGCATTCCACAGCAGCAGATAACCATTGGTTACATTTTGTTCCTCAGGCCTCTCAGCTTCTCAGGAGGAAAAATCATAAGGAAAGGATTTTTCATAAAAGATGTCTGTGACATAGCCTTGTGAGTTCTTCAGGAAGACATGAACAGGAAGGCACGGGCAGGGGTACAAATGCACCTGGGACAAGGTGTGAAGGCTCCTCTCCCTTCAAATGGAATGGATGAAAAGGTGTGATGCTGAGGGCTGCTGAGGAGGGTGACATGGATCCCAGTGAGCAGCACAATGGAAAGGCTGGGACAGCTCCTGAAGGACTCCTACAGTGTTCTTTACTTGGGATGCAGGGGAAAGCAGTGGGCAGCAAGGAACCTTTCTGTTCTCAGCACAGGCTCTGCTCTGTGCTAATGGGATTGTCTCTTCACAAAGTCCTCAAGACCAAGTGTGGGTCCCTTTTCTTGGAGATGTGGGAGAAGAGGGCCACCTCTGCACCTTCTCCTCTGTCCTTGACACATCTGTGTGTGTCACCAGTGCCACCAGTGTGTGAAGCACCTCCTGTTTCACGTGATTCCTGATGCTGATGCATCATCTTGTGCCTTTTTCCTCACGAAGGAGCTGCTTCACATGCACTTTTTTATTGGTACTGAGGACTTTGCTATATCACTGCTGCTACACAGAGACCTCATCTTCAGGCCACACAGAGACCTCATCTTCAGCCCACACAGAGACCTCATCTTCAGGCCACACACAGATCTCATCTTCAGGACACACAGACCTCCAGGCCACACAGACCTCATCTTCAGGCCACACAGACCTCAGCTTCAGGACACACAGATCTCATCTTCAGGCCATACAGACCTTACCTTCAGGACACACAGATATCTCACCTTCAGGACACACAGATGTCATCTTCAGGACACACACATATCTTCAGGACACACAGACCTCACCTTCAGGGCACACACATGTCCCTCAATGGCAACCAGAGAAGTTCTGCTGATTCCCTGTGCTTGCCCTTAAGGCCAGCCTTCTCCTTGCAGTGCTGGGCAGTGCCAGCCAAGGTCCTCCTGGCTCTCCAGCTGTTGGTCCTGGCTCTTGGGAAGTGTCAGCATGGGGCTGATGCTGCTGTCAGCCTTCCAGTTTATGACAAGTCAGTAACCACACAGGGTTGTGCAGTGAAGACATGGTGAGGTTTTTTCTCGATTTAAATCATAGCCTAACCAGTGAGAAAAGCATTTGCCCTGCTTGAGAAGAGA